AGACAAGTTGAACCTTGAGTTGTGTGCGACGTTGGCTACCACCTACTCAACCACCTTGAACTCGAACCTACTAACCATAAAACAATTAGGTATGTCTCAAAAAATCTGAGCCACGAAGTAAACATTCCTCAAGTCGAAATCCAAGTCAAACTCGAGGGCTGAGCCCATCGCCGAGATGCCCGAGGTCAAGTTCTGCTCGAGAAATTAGGAGATATAAGAACCTTGGATTTCAACTCGAGGTACGTATACGTCGTTGAGTTGCTCTAGGATGGGGCCGAACGAGTTTTGGGTAGTAGATTGAGTTTGAGAGTGGTTGAGTTGGCAGTGGTCAAGGGGACTCGAGTGTCGCTGCTGCAGAACTCGAAGTTCAACGTGATTCAGTGTACATACCCTTCACTTTCGACTCGATTCAACGTTAACCTGACCATTCATTCCTGTACATCTCTGTCTTTCGTCCCTTGGCTTCGAACTTCGGTGAGTTCGAATTTCTTTGCTACATTGGTCCGTTGAACTAACTTTGATTTTCCAGCCATTCGAGTTCCTGCACTTGCATCGAGGGCCTTTAACGAGCAGTTGAAGGACTCATATAATCTGTGGTGAGTTCTTCGTTCATGTTCATTGACAATTCTGCGGTACTGACTTACCTTTCAGACCAATCACTAGTCCAGCTCAACGTCTGTTGAACTTGCCCTGCAATGGTAAATACTCACTGCATCGCGAGTCCTCTGATTTGACCACTAATCCCTGCATTCAATTTCGTTCACCTTTGCTTGCCCTTCAACGTTCTCAGTACTGGGATTAAATATTCCGCGCCGCACCATCAATTTCAACTCAACTCAACTTCAACACTGAACTCGACTCCAGACTCGTGCGAACCTATTCCCCCTGAGGTGAGTATTCTCTTCCTTTCATTCCATATCATACTGACCTTCGTTCCGCCCCGGTTCGTTCACCCAGACTTGGTTGCTATCCAGTTTGAAGATCCCGGCGGCTACGCCGGCATTCAACTTGACTGCCAGCAAGGTAAGCACTTCAATCGGTTGATTTAATATTAGGGAACTGACTTCGAGTTTATTGCAGTCACCCTCGATTTGGTTCCCTTAAGGCTTGAGAGCATTCGGGTTGAGAATCAGGCACCCGGGCCCAATCTTAAATCGTCGCACGAAATAAGCTTTTCACTAGTACTTACCCTCGAGTTTTTTTGTATAGTTAGTGACAAAATCTACGCAGAATCAACATCAGACTGAGTTTGAATTGAATTCATGAACGGAAGGTACGCACCTCTCTTTACTTGAATTTCCGCTAACTTGAGTTTGGGCTCAGTGTATTAAATTCCCCTCCGCGGGCGTCATTCCGAGTACTTGGGTCTTAGAGGTCTCCAAACCCTCGACTCCAGGTAAGCTTCCCTTCATTTAACTCAAACCCGTGCGCAATTCGGACTAACAAGAATTCATTCCACAGGTAATTGGCAAATAAAATTATATTCAAGAATTGCGTAGGGACAGCGATGCGATAAGGACTCGGAGAAGGGAAAAGAAGGGAGGGAAGTGGAAGGGCGAGTGGCGAGGAAGGCCAGGGGGAGCGGCACGCCAAATCCAGCCGAACCCACATCCACGGCGGAATGCGAGCTCGGGGGATGGAGAAGCTCGGGGGAGCTAAGTGAAAGGAAATCGAAATACGAGACAAAAAGCGACCGCGTGGGAAGGAGGCTAGATGGATGGGCGGCAACATGAGCATAATGTGCACGCCCCGCATTAAGCCCCTCCGCACGCACGAGCCTCAGGACAGGATATATCTGACACGGACGCTCGAGCGCGCAATAAGCTCGGATCCAGCCCCCGAGTCCGCACCCCGCATAGCGCACAACCGGCGCGACAGAAACCCTGCACGTCCGCGACAGAAAACCCCGCACTAGCGGGCACGCACACGACGGCGAAGCGCGCACGCAGCCGTACACACGAGCCCGAAGCGATGTGCGCGCGCAGCTCGCCAGAAACCTCGCCTCTCCGCAGCCCGCCCTCGCCCCCGCACAGACACGCATCACCCGCCACCCGCCCGCACCCCGAGTTCGCACAGGCCCTCGAGTTCTCGCCATCACCCCCGCAAGCACCCAGCATCCGTCACACACTCGACTCGCACCGTCTCTGGATTCGGTCCGCGCGGGCGAGGAGGCGCACAACACCTTCCTCCCCGTAACACTCCGCCCGCGCCCGCCCACCCGCGCGAACGTCGGTCAGACCGTACGCCGGCGCGTCGTGCGGGTAGGTTTCTCCTCCGGTCCGCACCACGAACGCGAACGCGAACGTGAACGAAACGACAGTAGTGAGTGCCGGCGAGTGATGCATGAAGGTTCAACGCCAAATGCGCAGCAAGAAAAGAACAAACGATGCGGGGAAAACCCCACACCCACGCCCAAAACCCCACACGCAAACCCGCCCCCCTTCAACAAACGCCCCAAATCCAACTCCAAAAAAAACTACAACAACGAAAACGAAAACAACAACTCACCAGGCGCCACCCACGTCCCATTCGCAATCGCCTCCGCCACCATCCGCCGGTGTCGTCGCCGCAGGAGGAGGGAGCGGACGACGATGGCGGCGGAGACGGCGAGGAGGAGGATGAGGGTTGCGAGGAAGGTGTATACTGCGGTGGTGGGAATGGCGGCAGCGGTGGCGGGGATGGGATGTTGAGTAGTTTGGGAGTGGAGGGAGTGGGGGAGCGGAGGGAAAGGAAGTGGGAGGAACGGTAGATGGATGGGGAGAGCAGGCAGTTGTTTGAGGCGGGTGCGGTGGTGACGGTGTATTTTGAGTGAGCGGTGTCGACGGGAAGATGTGAAGGTGAAAAGCAGAGATGTGGTCGGTCCGCGGGCGACGAGGTATGTGCGGAAGGTCGAGGGAGATGGGCGATGGGTGGTCGTCCGAAGTGGATTAATGTTGGGCGCGTCAGGAGATGCAAATGCGGGTGCGAAATCCAAGGCCAGCGAGAGCGTCGTGCGGAGGATGTAAATGTGCAGCGTCGGGTAGAGATGCCGCGTGGAGGATGTCGCGGTCGTCCATGTATTGTGTATTGAAGGGGAGGCGCAGGGCGGGGGTGTCCAGTAGCGTAGCGCGGAGGACGAGCCGCGGAGCCAACGGCCAAGTCCATGGGCGGAACACGTCGAGCAGCGTAGCATATCGTTCGACAAAACAAAGGAACCAAAATAAAAATCAAGAAACCAGTCCCTCACCCAAAATAAAAGAAAAAAACACGACGCACAGTATAACTGCGCACTACTCTGAATGCCATTCCCGCCTCCGCCCCCACCACTACTATTATTGCCACTCCCAGTACCGGCATCGCCGCTGGAGGTGCCGTTGTTGCCGGGGAGAGCGGCAACGCCGGGTCGGTGGCGGTGGAGCCGGTTTGGGGTAGCCGGTGAAGGAGGTGGTAGAACCGGTGGGCGAAGAGGTGCTGGAGGCGGAGGCGGGTGCAGAGGCGGAGCGGGACGGGCGGGAGGTGGTGCTGGTGCTGGACATGGTGTCGTGAGGTTGGTGTCGTCACTTCTCGTCTTGTGTCGGCGTCGGTTCGGCCTGAATACGAGAACCAGAACGATGCGAGGTTAGGCTAGCGCTTGTGGTGGCCTAGCAAAGAGCCCGAAACCAACAAGGTACGGAGGCAATGCAACGACCGCAGAAAGATTGCTTGCTTGCTCGAATAAAAAGACGGCGGGTGTTGTCAAGCCCTTGTTTTCCTCTTCCTATTCTTGTCCCTGTCCTTTGTGTTACCGCAGATCCGTGCGTCGTCGGTGGCAGCGACAACGCTGAACAAGCGGATGCGGAGTGGGTGGGTAAATAGAGCAAGCGAACGATGACAAGTGACGCATCGGCGATCGGCGTTACCGCTTTGGGATGTTTTGTTCAATTTTGGCAGCGTGGGTTCTGACTTCTGGGCGCGGTTGGTTCCAACTTTGTCGCGGTCCAAGCTTTCGGGTGCCCGAACGACGATATTTTCTGAACATCATTCATTTTGATTTCAAGTTTGGGCGTCTAGACTCTAGACTTCGGTTGAAACGTTGGTTGAACAGTAACTTAAACGGGCTTTGCTTCACCGGAAACTCAAACCTCCCGCGCATCTTCCTTCATTTCATCCATCCATTCATCCATCCATCCCTGGGCCTACAGGATGGATGCCCGCCGGGCATCACGGTTTCAACTCAAACTATAAATATCGCACCTCCGTAAATTCCGTGATTGAACAGTATTTTTCGCACCCAACAACCCACGCCCCAACCCTACCGCAACAAGCAGTATGGTGTAATGTCCGCACACGGGACCTGCCTACACTGCAAGGCACCTAACAAAATTGAATCCCGAGGTCCTTGTTCGAACCAAGGTGCTGCTCTTCTGGAGTTCCGTTCCACGTGTTTTTAATTATTTTGCTGCGGGACAGCAAAAAATGTGCAGATGCTTACCAGGGAGTAAACTTAGGAAGGAAGCCAGTATGGTGTAACGTCTGCACACGGGATTCCACTCAGACAGTCACAAGAAGATTATTCCTGAATCCTTGTCTGAATCAAGGTGCTGCTCTTCACCTCCTTGCGTTCTTTTTTGTAGGCAAATCCACTCAATTTTTTGTGGGTCCATAAGCACTGGAATGAGAGAATGAAAGCAGTATGGTGTAGTGTCACACACAGGATTTCACTAAGGACTACCAAGAAAAGTAATCCCGAGGTCCTTGTTCAAGCCAAGGTTACTGCTCTTGGAAACCGACAATGGTGTTTTTACGTCCCACCTCCACTCAATTTATGGTGGATCTAGGAGCATTACAACAACAGAAGGAAAGCAGTATGGTGTAACATCTGCACACGGGACGTTCTTAGGCTGGTTCGTCGTCCCTGGAATCCCGAGGTCCTTGTTCGAACCAAGGTACTGCTCTTCTGTGATTCCACTCCAAACCTTTTTCTCCTTGGCAAGGCTACCCAACTTGTTGTAGGCTCATGAGCCTTGGAATGAGGGAAGAAAAGCAGTATGGTGTAAGACTGCACACGGGATTTCACTGAGGACTACCACAAAAATAATCCTGAGGTCCTTGTTCGAATCAAGGTACTGCTCTTCTAGGTCTGTGTCTTTTGCAGCAATGTAAATCCGAGGTCCTTGTTCGAACCAAGGTACTGCTCTTCTGCACACCTCACTCTTTTGCTACGGGACACTACAAATTGTGCAGATGTTGTGAGGGATTGAATTGGGTAAGGAAAGCAGTATGGTGTAATGCTGCACATGGGATTCCACTAAGAAAGATCACCAGAAGCTTAATCCCGAGGTCCTTGATCGAATCAAGGTACTGCTCCGCACTTTTCCCCATTCCCTTTTACCTCACAATTCCACTCAATTTCCTGTGGGGTTATGAGCCCTAGAATAAGAGATGGAAAGCAGTATGGTGTAAGTCTGCACGGGGCCCCTCTGCAACAGTCTTTCCAGGATGTTGCATCGAGGTCACTGTTTTTTTCTTCTTTCTGTTGACTACTGAATCTCTTGTGCATACTTGAGTGTTGGAATAAGAAATGGGAGGCGGTATGGTGTAATGCTACACACCGGGCTCCTCTGCGGTGTCCGGAAGTCTGTTGCCCCAAGGTCCTTGTTTGAATCAAGGTGCTGCTCTGCTGCTTTAGCAATGCACACCTCTTTTGCGGGACACTACAAATTTTGCAGATGTTGGCAAGGGATTAAATTGGGTCAGAAGGCAGTATGGTGTGATTCTGCACACGGGGCCTGCTTGCGATATTTGCTGTAATGCTGCCCTGAGGTCCTTGTTCGAATCAAAGTACTGCTGTGCCTTTCCACTTTTTGTCTTTTTCTTTGCAAGGCTACCCAATCCCTTGTGCATTTACAAGCTGTAGAATAGTGAAAGAAAAGTAGTATGGTGTAAGGATGCACACGGGGCTCCTTTGGGGCAGTGTGAAACCAATGTATAGTAATCCTAAACATGCATAACTTTATAAAGAGTGTGATTATACCTTGACACATTTTTGTTGATCTACAGCGGTACTCTTCCTTAGTACCAAATCAGGTGAAGCTGTCTACACATGACAGCGGAGCTATTCTGGTCCCGAGTGGGATGTCAACCTTGTGTCATGTGGGACTGCACAGATGCACTCTTTTTTTTCGGGAACTTCACCATTCTGAGTGCTGAACAAATTGATTACCTCTGACCATTTTATGTGTGGAAGTCAATGGGTGCAATTTCAGGAGCTATAAGTTTGCACACATTTTCTTGAAACTTACTCACACATTGACGCCGATGACAAAAATCCTCTTGCTTCTCTGACATTCATCGTGTGAAAGTGCAGGCTGTTCTCCACGAGGCGCTCAAGGTGACCACTCTTGTCACCCACCTCCAGGTCCATTGCGAAGGAATACATCCTCCTCACCCAGTCTGTGGGTGGCTCTTTCTGCTATCTAATCTTCCTTTTGGCTCACATGGTGTTCCACCTACAGAAGATCCGTGATACAACAACCCATTTTGACCATGTATAGCCAGGGCAATGAAGTCAAAACCTTTGGTGCCAGAGTCTCTATCAGTGGTGCGTAGGAAACTGAGCTGGGATGTCGGCATCATGATATCTTGTCCCCAGGGGGCTACGGCGGCTCGGGTGGAGAGGCCCACAGCATTGGTGGCAAGGGGGGTAAAGGGGAGGGTCCCAAAGTGACAATGTATGTCTGTTGAGCGTCCCCCATTCCTTTTCCCAAAGTCCTTTCTCAACAATAGCAGTGTGAACCAGGGTCAAGGGTCAATCAAACTTCTGAGGATGATATTTGAAGCTGACCTCTGCTCAGACTCGAAGAAGTTCTGTACAAGTGGTTGGAGTCTCCTCCTACTACGAAGGACACACAACACGAGCTGCAGAACCTTCGTCATGAAGTCACTGGGAGCTGGTTCTTAGGTGATAGCCAATTCATCAAATGGAAGACCACAGCCAGCTCTTTATGGATCAAAGGCATCTGTAACTCAATTTCATTGTGTTCCAATTCCATGTCTAATAATTGTTTGTAGCTGGTACCGGAAAGAGCGTACTAAGGTGGTTCATCTGACTACTATGTACATTTGCTGCCTCTGACAATGCCTACATGAGCAGTTCAACAGTGATTGAAAATATCACCGTGGACTGTCCAGACCAGACCGCAGTTGCATATTTCTATTTTGATTTCAGGAATGAGAGGCAGCACATGGACCTCATGTTACGTTCTATCACTTGGCAGCTCTCTGGACGGTCACCTTCACCCCATGGCTCCCTTCATCAGCTATACAAAACACTGGGAAATGGAACTATACAGCCACAGCATGTCCATCTCCAAGGGGTCCTTGAAGATCTACTTTCAGAGCTAGAACAGACATATATTGTCATTGATGGGCTCGATGAATGCAACAAGACCAATTGGAAGCACCTCATCAAGTTCATCCACAGCCTATGCCAACTTGCCAAGGATAAACTGCACCTTCTGTTTACCAGTCAACCTCATGAGAACTTCAACAATGCATTCAAGGATGTAACTTCCATCGAGCTTGGTTCTGCAGTTTCAACTGGCGACATCAGGCTCTTCCTTAGCAGTAAAATTCCTGGGGCCAGAAATTGGATTACAGATGACAAATCTGCTAAGGAGGTCACGGAGCAGATTGTGCAGAGGAGCAATGGAATGTCGGTCATCTCAGCATACCATAATTTGTCCTCAAGCTTACTTGCATATCCAGGTTCCGCATGGCCGCATGTCTCCTCATTGAGCTTGAGCATTGTTATGAGGATGAATGGCAGGAGACCCTCACAGCCCTTCCATCTGATCTGTTCTCGATTTACAGTCGTTTTTTAACCCGGGCAAAAGCTTCTCTCAAGTCACCTTTCATCCAAGCAATCTTCCGGTGGCTTGTGTTTTCTGCCAGAGAAGTCACATCGGATGAGCTGGCAGATGCTATTTCTTTCCGCCTAGATGCCCCTGCATTCGATTTTTCTGACCCAGTAAAATCCACTTACTATCCAAAAAGACGTCTTGACAACTCTGACAACTTCAAGTTGTTAGAGGGCCTGATCGTTATAAAAAAGGATAGCTCAGAGAGGTCACAGGACTGGCTCGGGAGGCAGAGCAATAGCACAGATAAACCACCAATAGCCTTTGCTCATTCATCTGTCAAGGATTATATCCTTTCCCATGAATTTCAGCAAGAATTCAGCTCAGTTATTGACCTTGGAATAGGTGCCTCTCACAGATTTATTACCCAAACCTGTGTCCGCTATCTCCTCCTTTTTGCAGACCCCAAGCATTCAATGACTGAGGAGACACTCCCATACTACCCAATCTCATTGTATGCAGCAGAATATTGGTTCCACCATCTACAGCATTGCAATGAGCAGGACCAGAGGGTGCTACTTCCATCAACAATGTATCTCCTGAAGGATGGAAGCAGTCAGCAAGCTGCTTTGTACCAGTTGCGTCCCTTGCGTTATTATGCGACCCGTACTTGGGACGTAACAATATCGCCGGCAGTGTGTATATGTGCCGAAATGGGTTACACCAGGGGAGTACACTCTCTGCTTGTTGAACATAACACATCTGTCGATTTAGTCAGCAAATATGGCCGGACTGCGCTGCATCTTGCATCAAGCAATGGTCACCTCGACATTGCAAGGCTGCTCATCGAACACAATGCGGCTGTCAACTTAGTTGATGAAGATGGCCAAACTGCGCTGCATTTTGCATCAAGCAATGGTCACCTTAGCATTGCAAGGTTGCTCATCGAGCACAATGCACCTGTTGACTTAGTGGACAAATGTGGCCAGACTGTGCTGCATGAAGCATTGAGGAATGGTCACCTTGACATTGCAAGGCTGCTCATTGAACGCAATGCACCCGTTGACTTAGTCGACGAATATGGCCAGACTGCGCTGCATTTTGCATTGAGCAATGGTCACCTCGAGATTGCGAGGCTGCTCATCGAACACAATGCACATATTAACTTAGTCGATGAATATGGCCAGACTGCGCTGCATCTTGCATCGAGCAATGGTCACCTCGAGATTTCAAGGCTGCTCATTGAACATAGCGCACCTGTCAACTTAGTGGACAAATGTGGCCAGACTGTGCTGCATGAAGCATCGAGGAATGGTCACCTTGACATTGCAAGGCTGCTCATTGAACACAATGCACCCGTTGACTTAGTCGATGAATATGACCAGACTGCGCTGCATTTTGCATTGAGCAATGGTCACCTCGAGATTGCGAGGCTGCTCATCGAACACAATGCACATATTAACTTAGTTGATGAATATGGCCAGACTGCGCTGCATCTTGCATCGAGCAATGGTCACCTCGACATTGCAAGGTTGCTCATCGAACACAATGCACCTGTTGACTTAGTCAACAAATATGGCCAGACTGCGCTGTATGGAGCATCAAGTAATGGTCACCTCAACATTGCGAGGCTGCTCATTGAACACAATGCACATGTTGACTTAGTTGACAAATATGGCCAAACTGCGCTGCATCTTGCAACAAGCAATGGTCACCTCAGCATCACAAGGTTGCTCATCCAACACAATGCACCTGTTGACTTAGTCGATGAAGATGGCCAGACTGTGCTGCATTTTGCATTGAGCAATGGTCACCTCGAGATTGCGAGGCTGCTCATCGAACACAATGCACATGTTAACTTAGTCGACGAATATGGCGGGACTGCACTGCATCTTGCATCAAGCAATGGTCACCTCGACATTGCAAGGCAGCTCATCGAACACAACATGCCTGTTAACTTAGTCAACAGATATCGCCAGACTGCGCTGTATGGAGCATCAAGCAATGGTCACCTCAACATTGCGAGGCTGCTCATCGAACACAACACACCCGTTGACTTAGTTGACGAACATGGCCGGACTGCACTGCATCAAGCATCAAGCAATGGTCACCTCGACATTGTGAGGCTGCTCATCGAACACAACAAACCTGTCAACTTAGTCAACGAACATGGCCGGACTGCACTGCATCAAGCATCAAGCAATGGTCACCTCGACATCACGAGGCTGCTCATCGAACACAACACACCTGTCAACTTAGTTGATGAATATGGCCAGACTGCGCTGCATCTTGCATCAAGCAATGGTCACCTGGAAATTGTGAGGCTGCTCATCAAACACAACGCACCTGTCGACTTAGTCAATGAATATGGCCGGACTGCACTGCATTTTGCATTGAGCAATGGTCACCTCGACATTGCAAGGCTGCTCATCGAACACGGTGCCAGCACAACCCTAGGGAGGACAGTGAGTGACCCCCAGATGATACCATAGGCTCAGTCTCTTAATG